CTTGCTGGGGTCGTTTGACCCCAGTACTCTTTCCTGCCATGGCAGGGGGTCGGACTAGATGATCTGCTCAGGTCCCTTCCGACCCTAGAAACTATGAAAAGCCAATGCGCGCACACTAACGCTCCATGCCCGCACCCAGAACATGCATGCGCACGCTTGCAGGTGCACATGCCTATAGCTGAAGGGGGCCAGGCGCACGCATGCACACTTGCACAGATGCACACGTGTGGGAGCATGCATATACATGCTGGCGTGTGCAGCAGGGGCCAGCGCCCCTTTCCCGCAGCCAGCCAGAGGCTCTTGCAGAACTGATGACCAAGCATGCCGGGAAAGCCGCCTGCAACCCAGGCTGGCTGCAGAGACCCCTGCGCAGGGGCATCCAGCATGGGCCGGCGCTGCCCTCCAGTGGGCCCTGCTCGCAGCACTCGCTACTCGGGATGGCTTAGGGGGGCTCAGCTTGCAGGGCTGCACCCAGAGGCTCTGGCCAGGAGCATTTTGCAGGGATGAGTCAGAGCTAGAAGTGCTTCTAGGCCCACTTGCTGCACCAGCTCTGCTGTCCCAACCTCCCTGCGGCCACCCATGGAAAGACCGGGCTGGACAGTATGGGTTGCAAACTGAGGCTCACCTGGTCTCAGGCCTCCTCGCTGCCTTCCCCCTGCAGCGAGACCTGAAGCCGGGGCAGGGTGATATGGCCAGGTCCCCGGGCCCCCATCCATCTCCCAGCGGGGCAGCAGATCCACAACCCCACGGCTCTTTTCACGAGCATAGGGCCAGATGGGCTCCAGTCTCCCCTTCTAAGCTTGGGCAGCTCGGGCATAAGCGCAGGGCAAGGAGTTGCTCCAGGCATGAGGCTCTGAGCACCCGCGCAGCACAGGGGCTGGCAGGGAGCCTGGCATGGGGCAGCCTCAGTGTGGGAGAGGCCTGGCCTGTGTGCCCGGCCCTGAGCAGAGACAGCTTCTGCTCCATCCTTGCCACCAGCATCCAGGGCAGGCGCCCGCCTGTGCCCCTGCTGCCAGCCCTGCCTTGCACGGGTGGTTGCACGGGTGGCTGCTGCTCTCTAGCGGCCAGAGAGCACAGGCAGCCGCCCACGGATGCTCCTGGCAGGACCAGCCCATCCTGTCCCCGGCAGCAGCAGAGCACAGAGGGCTGGGAGGGAACAGCCACAGGACCCCTGCCTTCTCCTGGGACAGGCCAGGAGTGAAGACGGCAGGGAAACAAAATGATGCTCCAGCTGGACGTGCTGCCCCGAAGCCATGCTGGGCCCCATGAACAGGCCAGAGCTGCAGCCTCCTCCCTGAGTGCCTCAGTTTCCCTGCCTTGAGGGCATGCGGAGGCAGTCGCTGCTCAGTGGCCTGGCCCCCCCTGCGCACCCCTGGCCCCTAACCCCAAAAGCATAGAGCAATCCCCTGCCTCCCCCCGCTGCCCAAATCACTCCTTCCTAAGGACTGCCGATGCCTAGCGCTTGGCTCACTGTAGATGGCAGATTGCAAGCCAGTCTGACCCTTACCGTATTTGAGAGCAGCAGCTGGGGACAAGTCCATGTGGGGCCGGATCCAAGGGCACGTGCTGCGTCTGGCCTCTATGGAGCCAGAGAAGATGAGGATGGAGCAGCTACAGCTACCCCTCAGGTCCCGGGATGTTCAAGTCCCAGCTGGGCTCTGGGGTAGGTGAGGAGGAGGACAGGGTGGGTGCATAGGAGACACCGAGAATGAACCTCTCTGGTAGCCCACGTCGCTCTGGTCTCTCTCCTCCCGTGGGATCCTGCTGCCAACGATGCAAGGAGGATTTCCGGGGGAGGCGTGTGACAATTCGGCAGCTCCCCGTGCAACTCGAGTGACAGCCCAGTGTTTAGCAAGAGTCAAGGGGCAACTCCAGGTGTGGGAGCGCCCCGGGCGCAAGGCCTTCTTCGGGAGGGGAATTAACCCATCAAGAGATGGGCATGGCTTAAAACTGGATGAGGGCTTTGGGGTTGCAACTGGCATTTCCCCCTTACTCAGGAAGGAAAGTGGGAAAAGGAGATCTTCAGCTTGGACTCGTGAATCTGCTAAGTATGGGGGGCACTGACTGCTAGGTCCATCCAGCCACCCCAAGGCCAAAAGAGGGGCACGGGACCCCCAAGCACAGACAACTCAGCAATCCTGCTGGCTGCACCATGTCCATCTCGGATTCACCAGAGCGCAGAGGTGTCCAGATAGCCGTGCCTTGCTGCTACCATGAGCACAAAGCTTTCAGCCTCGGGTCCTTCACATGAGTTTCAGTGCTCCATGTTTCAGGCCAGTGAGATCTATCCATCTGTCACTGAGAAATTTCAACCCTGGGTTTGAGGGTTCAACTCAACCGCTTGCTGTGCTGGGTCGGAGCCGGCTTGGTTTGCAAGCCCGTGCACTGCAGTGCCTCTGCCGTCGGACGGTGCTTCGTTTTTAAATCAGCGAAAAGGCACCAGCACCCACCCAGGTTGGGAAGATGCACTTTGGGTAAAACAAAACGAGATAGACAGCCCTGCAACATGGAGCCAGTGCACCCCGGGCGTGTATGTGTTGTTTTAAATAAATATGCTTATGGCTCAGAGGCCTCCACTTCGGCAGCACGGACAAGACCTGCAGGGCCTCCTCAAATTTTCTGCTGAGGGATATGAATGGCGATCTCAAAGTGGTGGTTTCTACTGAAACCAGCAATGTCCTCTCGTATCACTTGAACACCTGGAGGCAGAGAAGTGTGGGGCGGCTGTGCTGGACTGAATACGCCTGATTTCTGCTAAGCAGTCCCGGGTCCCGCTGACACCTGGCGGGAGACCACCGTGGCTGAACAGCTGGCAAAACACTCGTCATAGGCAGTCGAGGATGATCATCTCCCACGATTGTCTCGTCTGTGGTTCCTAAGAGGGCAGATGAGGCTGATCCGGGATCGACAGATGGATGCAGAACCACAAACACAAGACCAGTCTTGACACGTGTTGAGTTGCACTCAGATAAGACCCTGAGGCAGGCAGGCTGGGCTGGTCAGGTAGGTGCTGGACTCCTAATCATGTCCAGAAGTTGTTGGCCACCAGCAGTACCGATTACTTCATGAGACTGTGCCGGAAGCCTCTTAACAGACAATTAAGGGTCGACCACAATTAAAGTGTTGACCTTCCCAAAGGCAAAGCTTCCTAACCAGGGCTGGCTCATGCTGGGAGCATGAGCATGAGAGTATGGAGATCCTCAAAAGATATAGCTGTGACTGAAGACCATGGAGGACAGATTCAGACAGACAGGAACTCATAGAAGTCTGGAAACTCAAGATAGAGGAGCTCTACCCATGCACCTTGCGCTTTTCCAGGGGTAAAAACCACTGTTTTATTTATTTATTTTTCTTAGATAAAAAGATCAATGCCTTCGCACAGGAGCGTTGTGCTCCACAGAACCAAAGGAAAGGCGGCTAACGGGGAAGGTTATCTCCCAGCCCGAGGAGCCTGCGTGGTTGGTTTATTCCATTAATCTTTCGCTATAGCATTTCCATGACTTAAAGTACAAAAATACAATTACATCTCCAAAGGGTATTTTATACCTACCGAGAGCAGTTGAGCACTCAACCGGATGAGACATCTCCGTAACCTTCAAAGAAGAAATAATGCACAACACGGACAGGGAACGGAAAATAATAATAAAAAATGTACACATCTGGAGTGCGTCGGCTTGATTCTGCCGGCGTTTCCACTACAATTGCTAAGATACACGTATCAATCAGGTCATTGCCATTAAGAAAGCCGAGAGCACACAAAGGAAGGGCATTAGCAACCTGTGTGAGATCTGACATTCAGGGCTACATTTAGTAAGTTAATCATTTGAAGGTGTTCTCTCCTTGGGTTTTTAATCTTGGGCACATCAAGCGGCAAGCCTTTTTGCTGTTAATTTATCTGCATGATGAAAGCAATCCACATCTGCTTGTGGAAAATACGGTCATGACTGGGTGGCTACGTCTTTCCCTTTTGAGCCGAAAGAGCAATGTATGTCCCTGGACTGTGTTTCCTGGGCAGAAGATGCATGCCTTGCACATCCATTAATGCGGTTCTCAACCAGGGTGCCTGAAGGCTGGGATGGGAGTTGTCGTAGGGTTCATTTGGAGGGGACACCAGGAAGCTCTGTGTGCTTGGAGAATTTTCCAACAGCAAGCATGCAATGCACCTCGTGGCCGCAAGCAGTAGCCCACAATACACTGCACTTGAGTAAAGATCCAAGTTGTTGCAGTGCAAATGGAGCCCCTTTATTAGTGCAAAGCCCTGGGCATGAAACACCACCTTGGGGTGGTGCAAGACCCTTCCAGAAATGCCCCAGTGGCCAGGTGAACTGCCGCTGGGGAGACAGATTAGGAAGCAACTGTGGCTAGAGCCCATGCTTTTCCTGTGGCCCTCCCAGTCTGACCCCACAAAACAGAGACACACCGGGCAGGTGGAACTGTACTGCACCCGTTTGTGGAAGGGGCATGCCAGGAGGCACCCACAGGGCTATGGAAGAGTGTGTGCTTCAGCTGCAGTCATTTGTACTGTTCGGTCAAAGGGGTGATGTGCAAGGAAACCTAGGGCAGATGAGACTACTTTCCTTCTCTGCCACCAGCACTGCACAGGGAGTTTTGCACAGGTCTCGAAAACCATCGGGTATGCCACCATACTCAACTGCTTTAGGTTTATCTGATAACACCAGGTGCGGGAGCACCTGGTTGAGAACCACTAAGTAAGCCAAAATAGCATGACGGTGGTTCATACTCGGGGCTGTTGCCCAATTCAAAACAGTGTTGGAGGGCACCCGGGCTCTAAAAAGGTTGCGAACCACTGCATTAAAATAATGCATCTGGGCCTATATTCAGTGAAGCCTTTAATCATGTGCTCAGGGCTGGGCTGGATCAGGAGTTTGCACTGGTGTCTACATGGCTACAACATCCTACACCTGCCCCCTGCCACAGCTCCCAAACCTCTCTCAGTGACAAGAGGCCCGTCTACAATGGGCATCGTGAAGCAGCCGTCTGAGCTTGCTTTAAACTAGCCAGCATGGGTACTGCAGCCGCAGAAGCTGGAACCTCTGAGCAGGATGAAATGTCTGTGCACGTACCCACGTGAGTTTGGGTGGCCCGTGTTAACTCCCCACTTGTGTGACTGCTATCAGGCACTGAGAGAAAGTTCAAAGCCAGTTTGGGCTCATTTACACACACTGGGGAACCCTGCAGTGTAAAGGTATCAACACGGCTCATCTAACTATCACTGAATGGAACTGGTGGTGACACATAAGAGCACAAAGTGGTTCCTGATTCGGTCAATCCACTTGCTAAGTTCTACAATATTAACAACTTGGGGGCATTTTACCATCACCATGTGTTTCATATCCACAAATGGGTTGGGGCCAAACTAGAGCGGCATTGTCCTATGGCCATTAAATAGTCACATGGAGTTTCTACCAAACACCCACCCATGTACTGCCCCCCTGGGAAGTTGTCTGAACAGTCTGCCCTCACACACACATTCAAGATCTGCATCTGCTGTCTATGTAGTGCCCTGCCTTGCAGGCTGAGCTGGGCAGGATCCTCAGATACAGCAGGTCCTGGACAATGGGGTTCACACGAACCTGTCCAATACCTCAATGGTGGCCTCGGCTGATTCAAGTGCTTCACTCAGTAGCCCAAAGAGCCCTTTTGTGGTAAGAAACATCCCTACTCTTATCCCCAGCTGCTCTGAGCTGATTGGGAAATTTGGTGCGCGCTCTGGACTGGCCAGGCTGGCTTCCTACACTTGCTGTCCCTCCCTCCAGGCTGTCGGCGGATGGTCACACTGGACTGGGAAACCCTGGACATACTCCACGATCAGTTCCCAGCAGCTCTACCCATCTCATTCTTCCCTCCTTCTCTCACGAAGTTCAGGAACTCTTGTCTCTGCACTACGTAAACCAGCTGCTTTATAAGAGATCCCAACATTGGCACATGCTGTAGGATAAAGCCTGAAGAGCCAGCAGAGCTCTACAGCTTGTTTTATGGCTGGTGTTGACAGTTCTTGAGTTTACCAAAGGGCAGGAGACTGCAGATCAGCTCTGCAGTTCTGACTCGTACTAAAGTAGGAGGCAGAAGAGTCAGAACCATCCCGTTGCATGTTAGTGCACAGGCAGAGGTGCCTGCTGTTCACCAGCGGCACATGCTGTGCACCATCCATCCCGGTCTGTGAGAACCCAGCCTCATGCTGCTATCCCCAGGCCTTGGGGGTCAGCTAGGCAGTTTACACCTGCCTGCACAAGGAGAGCAGCTCACTGCACCGATACCAGACCATCTCTGGGTGATAGGGCATCGCTGCCTTCTCTGGCTTCCCAGGTAAGGGTCAGCCCCGACGTGCCGGGAGGCCCATCATCCACAGCTGGGACCCAGCTGGGCTGGGTCTCAGTACATGGCCTCATTGTCCCCGACCGCAGCAAAGGGGAGGCTGTAAGTGCTGTTCTTGCTGCGCTTGCTTTTCTTCCAGGCCAGGAGCGTGCTGGCGCTCTTGTTGTTCATGAGGCTCTTGCGGCTGTTCTCCTTGTTGTTCTTCAGTAGGCCGCCGCCCAAGGACATGGCAGCCGACTTCCTGTCCATCTATTAGGCAGAGAGAGAGAGAGAACACCAACATGAGCTACATGAGAGGGGCAATGAGCTGGTTCATGGATAAGTGTGTTTGCACACTGGCAGCAGGAACACACAATCCAGACCCCAAAAGGAGCATGTGCAGAGCTCGGTTTTAAGGAGTGCTATGCCAGGTCCTCCTGGGAGGCCAGGACCTAGGAGGAGCACAGCCCCTGCTTACAGGTCGGAGTGGGAACACCAGAGCCAGATTCTGATCAGACAGTGTTTATACCCTGGTCCGTTCCCACTGGTTTCCAAGCAAACAAGGACAGGATCAGGCCCAGAGGGTTTAAAAGGGGCTAATTAAAGCCCCACAGGAGCTCTGAGCCTGAGCAGGGATGGAAACTCAGGGGCTCCTGGCTTTCAGCTTCATGCTCATGCTGTTCACTTGAGAGCAAGCTCTCTAACTACTCTACTGCTTTTCTGTAGATTTAGGAAAGGTCCAGAGAAGGGCAATTAAAACAGTCAGAGGGGCCAGACTAGGAGAGACTAAAAAGGCCCGGACTCTTCAGTGTGGAAAGAAGGCTGAGGGGGGATCGGATAGAGGTCTATAAAATCAAGAAGGGTGCAGACCAAGTGAACACGGAGTTTCTGAGTTCGTCACCAAGTCCCAGAACACTAGGTCTAGGGGACCCCCACTGAAATCAGTAGGTGACAGGTTTAAACTAACAGGAGAAAGGACTTTTTTATATGCAACGTGCTGTTAACTTGCGGAGTTCATTGCCACAGGAGGTGGTGGAGGCAGAGAATGAATCCAGATTCAAAAAGGGACTGGGGAAATTCATGGATGATGGATCTATTAATGCCTGTGGAACAGAACAGTTGGAGATGCTTTCTCTGGCCTCTCTAACCCAATAATTGGTGGGTGCCAGAGACACTACTGAATAGGGGATAGGTCACTAAAGAGATACCCCATTTGATGCTCTCCTTATATAGCATCCACTTCCACCACTGTCAGAGACAGGCTATGGGGCTAGATGGACCACTGATCTGACCCAATATGGTACTGCTGATGTTCCTCAGGATGTGGCTTTCCCCCTGCCAGAATCGTCCATGCTGCTCAGACCTGGAGATCTCTCCTTTGCCTTTGATGCAGGTTCATCTCTCAGGACACCCCATTCTGACCCTACGCTGTCCTGGCCCAGGCACCCAGCTGGGAGAAAGCAAGACTGCCCCTGCTTTGCAGCCCAGTTAGACAGCTGAATGTCATGAGGAACTGCACCCCTCATGCCCTCAATCTGCTGATTCTGACCCAGTGAGAAACCACCAGGAAAGTCCCAGCTCCTTCCCACTACACCAACAAGGTCCCTGCTGGAATCAGCTTCCTGCTTCACAGTTTCCACCCTAGAGAAAATGCAGCCTCCCACTCAAGCTGCTCTCAGCTGGCTTTCTTCTGTCCCTAGACCCACATGCCTGAGGAGCTGTCAGCAGAGCTCGGAGCCAAGGAAGAAGGTGAATTACCATGTTCTGCACCTCAGAGCTCTGAAGGGTGATCAAGCCAAGCTCCACCCCGTCTTCGCCGACGCTCTTCAGCAGCTGCACCACCTCTGCGTGCTTCAACCATCTGCAGTCCTTGCCATTCACAGAGATGATAAAGTCTCCTTCTTTCAGCCCAGCTTCCTGCAGGGGTCAAGCAAAGGCACACGTGGCTGAACAGGGCCTGGTGGTCTCCCAGCACTGCTATGGCCGAATGAAATGCCAGAAACCAGGACTCCACTTCCCCAGAGGTAAGCACAGAGGGTGCCAGGGCTATGTCCGGGTTAGGAGGACCCACAGCCTAGTTTATTCACCTGGCAGAGACACAACACTGGCACTGATGGAAACTCAGTGTTCTGGGATGGACCTGAGCCAAAACAGCAGTTGAACAGGGGTGCAGTAGCACTGACTCCAAAGGGGCTGGATCAGCTGGACCCTCAAGGTCCTTTCCAACCCTACAGTTTCATGGGGTGATTCACATGGTTAAAGCTCGGCACATGTTTAAGGGCCTCAGGGTCACAAGGGCTGATCCAGGGCTCAGCAAAGTCAGTGGAAAGACTCCCCATCCTGGAGTTGGATTGTTCTTAGTGGGGGGCAGATGACAGGACAAGGAGCAATGGGCTCCAGCTGCAGCAAGGGAAGTTGAGGTTAGATATGAGGGAAAAAAAACACCACTCTCTCACGAGGAGAATAGTAAAGCACTGGAACAGGTTACCCAGAGAGGTGGTGGCATCTCCATCTTTGGAGGTTTTTAAGACCTGTCAAGACAAAGGCTTGTCTGAGATGATGTAATTGGGGCTGGTTCTGCTTTGAGCAGGAGGTTGGACTACATGTGACCTCCTGAGGTCCCTTTCACCCTCATTTTCTATGACTCTGGCCTTGGCCCAGGCTATGGGGTGAGAAGTGGCTGGCACTGGCTCCAAGACCTGCAACCAGGGCAGCTTTTCACGGGAGTGACACAAGACCCAGCTCCGACATGAGGCTGCCCTCCTCTGCTGAACGCTACTCGTCAAGAAGCCTTTGTCCCAGACATTTGCAAAGTTTAACATGCTCAAAATAATGTATTTTCTCTTGGTCTTGCTCTCAACCCTCCCCCCACCCCACATACACCATTTCAGCCCCCAAGAGTCAGTCTGACAGTCACAGGCAGTTGAAAACAGGGCCTTATAATGGGGACTTATCAGGCAACCCTGGCAGGGAGAGTTACCGAGCTTCTCTAGATCTTTCCCAAGGAGGCAGTAACTAACTCACCGCTGCGCAGCCCCCGGGTATCACTCCGGCAATGAGGACGGGGGAATCCCCTCGAAGCGTGAATCCAAAGGCGCTATCTCCTCGGACCAGGTGAACTTTCCGTGCCGGGTGCCACTTGTTTTTGGCTGAGAAAACTGTCAGAGGCCCCTGGGTGGAAACAGAGAGACAAAATAACATACTGGAGGCAAGAGTGCCCTCTTGAGTCCAGCACTGCTGCCCTTGGTTGCAGATATCCTGATGGCTTTTGCTCTTTGAGACTGAACGCTGACTAGGTGTCAGAAAAGATGGATTCACTGTGCTGAGGAGCTCCTGACAGGGAAGTGCTTGGGGGGGTTAACAGTGCCTAGCTCAAAGTCAATTTATTTCGGCCTCACGTGCTGCAGCCCCTGCCTTGGTACAGCCCCACACCAGTCAGCCTGTTTCCTGCAGAAAGGAGGCCTGGATGAGCTGTCAAGGGCAGCTGTTAAAGACTGGGAGCTGTTGTCTGTTTGGAGAAGGCTTGCTGTTAAATGAAGACTGTCTGCCAAAGACAACAAGCAGCCTCAGCCCTGCAAATCTGCTGTGCAGGGAACTGGCTCTCCACCCTTCCCTTCAGAAGAGAATCCCACCATGGGAGCGGGGAGGGGCTGCTGGTCAACTGGCACCGAGCTACGCAGCTACTGAGGGGGAAATCTGTGACTGTGCTCGAAGCCAGCACACAGTAGGACCAGCCTGAGTTGGAAGAGGGCATGGCACTTGCTTCAAGGCACCTGCCCCAGTCCCAGGCCATGGCTGTGCAGACTGCAGGTGCCTATAACATACTGCTACTTTAAAGACCTCAGGCACTGTGCTCTGTGCAGACTGTCTGTAGCTGTGATGCACTACTCTGCTAAAAGTTGGGAATGGCAGCAGGGATGGAGAGGTTACCTTGAAACAGTGTTTCCCTGAGCTGCGACATGACCCCTGGGGGTCTTTAAGAAGAGGCTGGATGCCTACCTGGCTGGACTCATTTGAGTCTCGTTTCTCTTTTTGGGGTTTCTTTGTTGTTCTCCCGCCCTGGCGGGGGGTCGGGCTAGAAGATCTACTAGGTCCCTTCCGACCCTAAATCTATGAATCTATGAATCTATGCCTCTTCAGCAATTCAACCGTCACCAACCCCAACAATGAATGAAGGGAAACCTTTATACACTCTTCCTTGCGAGAGCCAGCTTGAAGCTTTACCATCTGGCACTGGCTGGCTGAGCTCCATGCTGTCTCAGTCGCGTGGTGTGGATCGGAGGTCACTCTCACCTCAGTTTGGGCCCTCTTTTCCCCTTTAACTAGCCAAGATCCCTTCCCCCATTTGGGAGAAGCAGCTTATTTTTGTTCCTGGGATGAAATGTTTGCACCCCAAAAGACAGGGAGATGCAGGTCTCCTTATTCATTGTCCCAGCAGGAAAAAAGGGGGTGTCTTAGCTGGTCCCTACCTGGCATGCCTTCAGTGTGGATCCAAGAAAATGTGCAACTCAGCCTTGATCTGACTGCATGTGAATCAGAGCCTTTAGGCACAGGTTTAGAAAACGGTGTCTTAATGCTGAGGTTCTATATTAGGGGAAAACTCTCGAGGTCTTATCACTGCTGGTTTAAGGAAAACCTCGACCCAAAAAACAGAAGAGACAGCATCGGAGGAGAGTCAACTCTTAACGCTTTCCCTACGTTCGCAGCCAGCCTGTATGCATCAGCACCACTGCATGGATTCACTCTCAGGCTGCTCTGGATGGCATCCACACCACAGTGTTCAGAGGCTGAACATGGGCTTGTGGCAGGTTTGCTGCTAAGCGTGATAGGAGCCTGCGCATAAGGCTGTCTCTCACCCTTGTACGTACCAGTCGATGGAAGATGTCAGTCACCTTCACCTGGGAGAAGTTGGGAGATATGATTTCTGGTCTCTGATGCGTTTTGGCTAAAATCAAAACCACAAGAGACATGTCACAGCTGCACGGATGAACTGGCAGGCACTGCTCATGCATCAAGCCACCCGATAGACTCGGGACTGGGCACCAGCAAAGCTCAAACCATCTGAGACAGCAGGCTGGCAGGGCAGGCTCAGGCCCCTGGCTGAAGCAAATAAACAGCGAGGAGGGATGTGTCTTCATATTTTAAAAGGGCATTGAGTGCTTTGCAGGGCAAATGTCACAGGGTGGAAATGAACATCGCCTTTCACTGCCTCAGGATCTCCAAGGCACATGTCGGTAAGCAGGGAAACCCCAAGTGAAAGAGGAAAGTCAGCACTTCTCTGTTTACCGAAACGTACCCAAGAAATCTGATGGGTGCATCTATGTGTGAGGGTAGGGGGTGCAGCTAGGAAGGTGCTCCCAAGGCTGGAGGGGCCCAATCTTGTGTGGGAATTCCTGGGGTGGGCAGGATTGGGGCCTCCCCCAAGGACCAGGAGAACATAGAATCATAAAATGAGGCTGGAAGGTGCCTCAGGAGGTCACATCTAGTCCAACACCCTGCTCAAAGCAGGATCAGCCCCAACTACATCATCCCAGCAAGGGCTTTGTCTAGCCAGGTCTTCAAAACCTCCAAGAATGGAGATTGCACCACCTCTCTAGGTAACCTGTTGCAGTGCTTCACCACCCTCCTAGTGAGAAAGTTTTTCCTAATATCCAGCCTCAACTTCCCTTGCTGCAACTTGAGCCCATTGCTCCTTGTTCTGCCATCTGCCACCACTGAGAACAGCCCAACTCCATCCTCTTTGCAACTCCCCTGGAGGGACTTGAAGGCTGCTATTAAATCCCCCCCTCAGCCTTCTCTTCTCCAGACTACACATGCCTCCCACTGTCCTGCAGCAAAGGGCAACATGTTTCAGCCAAGGAAGCGGATCAGCTGTGCCAGGCACACCCTGGTCTGACTGATGCTGCTGCCTATGGTGACATGTTTCTACCCAAAAACGTGCAAATAGCTGGCTCCTTCCAGACAGGAGGGACAGGTGGTCTCTCTAGCTTGGTTCTTAAACCATGTCCACCCCCTTGGTCCATGTGGCAGAGTAACCAGCTGCCTCTTCCTCACAGTCAGAAGTACCAACACTCCCAGCAAAGCCACAGACCCATCTGTTTTGCCGAGGACAGGATGGGAACTTACTGATGAGAGCATGTCAGTGGTGTGCCCTACTACAGCACTTACGGTGAATGTCAGGGGCATCTCCAGTTTCGAAGAAGTCCTCCTCGTGGTCAATGTCCGAGTACTTGCTCAGTGAGCGCTTGTGAGCAAAGGACAGCACCTCTTGGAGGATATCCATCTTCCTCAGGATCTTGCACAGGCCATGGATCCTCATGGCTTCCTCATGCCTCATGATGGCCTTCTTCAGATGAGCCTTGCCTAAGAAGCACAGAGACCTTCATGCACCCCTCCATGCCACGTGACACTTGCCCCGAGCCACCAGCGTGTCCGTGCCAGGCCACCGCAATAACTTCACAGCCAGGGAACCAATGGTCTGACTTCCTGCATCTCTCGATATCAACTGGGGGTGGGACAGTCCCAGCTCGTGGCAGCACCCGCAGGACTCCCAGGATGTACTCAACGGACACAACATGGAGCAGGTCCCAAGATCTGGCTTGGATCACAGGAGTCAGACAACCAGGAGCCTCCCAAAGGTGACCTGGGCCCCTACCTGTTCTGAGGTAGGAGGACTGTACCTAGACCATCCCTAGCAGATCTGTTTACCCTCTTCTTAACTCACAGACAGTGGAGACTCCACCACTTTCCTAGGGAGGCTGATCCAGTACTTCACTGTCCTGACAGTTAAACAGTTCTTCCTAATATTCAATGTAAAGCGTGTCTGAAAATTAAGCTAGAGGCTTCTTGCTCTGTCCCTTGTGGGTACAGTTAACTTATCACCATCCTCTAACAACCCCCTGAGCATCACACTGTTGACTCATTCACTAGTCCACCCATGCCAGTTCATTCTGCAGTTTTGGGGCCCAGCTAGTTATTGTATTCACCTGCACTTCCTTATTGCAGGCAAATGCCTGTATACCTTAAGTCCGGCGCTTTGCATGAAAAATTTCATGAAAATTTGCTGGTGGCTTTGCAAGAAATTTCATCTTGTTAAAGTTCAATCATTTACCCAGATCATTTAGGACTCAAACCTTGTTTTCCAAAGCACCTGCAACCCCTGCCAGGCTACTGTCTTCCAGAAATTAAGTGTCCTCTCTATGCCAGCATCCAAGATATTCATAAAAATAAGTGTGGATCAGAACCAGCCCCTGCAAGATCCCACCTGAAATGTCCTCCCAAATCCTAAACAAACTGTGGATCACTACACTCCAAGCATAATGAGGGAGTCGATATTTAGCCTATTTCCCTCACTTGCTCAGGAGACCATCAAGTGGGTGTTCCCCAAACCTCACTAAAATTCAAGCTACACCAACAACTGCTGGTTCCCATGTCTACTAAACCACGCAGCCTGCCAAGAATCAGACTGGTTTGACAGTATTTATTCTGGAGAAAACCCACACTGGATGGCTTTTAAATCACCTTCCTAACTTCCAGGTGCTTATAAGATGATTGTGTAACAGTTTATTCTAATCCGTCCCTGGGGCTATAATACTGGATAGCATGCTTGCCCTTCTGCAGGCTTCCCCTGTCATCTATGAATTCCCAAAGACAATTTCTGCTGGTTCAGAGACAACCTCAGGTTGTTCCTTACGTGCTCTCGGGTGACATTCCCTAGGTTCTGCTACCTTGAATACCCGTCTCCTGGAAAACCCCTTCCTATTCTGGTCTGCACTCCTATCCTCTTGCTTAAATGAAGTATTTGGCTGTGGTTAACCTTCAGGAAGGCTGAAACAATAGAGGCACTGAATGCTTTAACCCTCTGTGCCACTTATTATTTACTCCCCTTTCCCTTTCAGTAATTAAGTCGCGTGATCTTTGGACTTCCCATCATACTGCTCTGGAAGCAGCTACAACCTGGAGCATGGAGGTCTCATCTTCATTTGGAACATTTATGCTCACTAGTCCAACTCATGATGAGACTGGTCCAGCTAACAATGTTCTCCCCTTAAATTCTCAGAGTCACTGACCACTGGTACCAGTACCCCACTGTTGGAAGAAATGGGAGAAAGAGCCAGGGACTGGTGGCCAATTATAAGCTGGTAGTTCCAGTTTCAAGACACATGGTGGCACCCTAACTCAGGAGTTATTCTGGATTTACTCAGGTACCACAAAATGGGATCAAACTTCGCTGAGAAATGGAGGCAAACAAGCCTCTGCGCTGAAGGTCACTTACTGAGATGAACATCACTGGGCCTTATTCTTTACTGAGGAAAGGGAGGAGGGGGAACAAAAAATTATTGAACTAGACATTTCTAATGCTCTGTCAGACCAGACTGAATGAACACAGACAATGAGGGAGGCAGGAGAAGTCCACAATTATCTGGCATACATAGGATCTCAGGCAATGCGACCTGGTTTCATGATTATTTTGCTTTTTTTTTTTTCCACTACAGTGCAGAGACACTCAGGGACTGAGTCAGTGGGTGATGCCGAGCAAGAACGTTCAGGACGTGTCCAGGCTTGCAAGTTCTCTGATAATTATTTTGTTTTTTAATTAATCATCAACTTGGGATCCTGAGACTCCCTCCACTCCCCCAGAGAACATTAGGTCAGGTTTCAGAACTATAGTCCCTGTTCAGTCAGCCATCAGCTTCCCGGAAAACTGCTTAGCTGAAGATAAAGGGTGACCTGACCACTGGCTTCACTTGGTTGGCTGGGGCTGAATGTTACGTGCTCAGTCTGGGGTCACTGAACTTATAACACAGCCACAATGGTGGTTTGAGAGAGATGCAAAACAAAGAGGGAATCGTAATACGGATGTTTGCCACTGCAGCTTGCTCTCTCTCCTCTGAGCTGGGAGCAGAGAGCATGGGGATGTTCAATTTTATTAGCATTAAAACAGGAACATCTTTTCTTACTGGGAGACAAGTGTTAGAGTGCCAACTGCTCAGCTGGTGTAAATCAGCATGAAATCACGTGGTGGTGTGCAGCACAACTTGTGCCACCTTACCCCAGCTGGGGACTGGCCCCTTCATCTTTGTGAGGGCCAGGCAGAATAGCCATTGTCTACAGTTCATCTTTGCTTTTTTGCTTCAAAAAGGCAAGACGGGAGGAATTTGTTTCTCACTCCCTTTGATGCTGGCCCCGCCATCCTGAGGATACCTCACATTTAAACTCAGAGTGCCATCTCACAGACACTGGAAGCAAATCCACATCCCAATACAGTCCAAATAAAAGGCTCCCAGTGAGTTCAGTAGGGCTGGATTGGACCTTTGGAGTGAGCTCAACTTTGGAAAGTTCCTAGATCACAGTTTCTCCCTGGCGCATTTTAAGAGATAAGGGAAGTTTTCCTGCTTTTGTCTCCCATTCACTTTGCCGAGCCAACCCAGCTCCATGAGAGCCAGATCTCGTTTCAGACTGCCAGCACCCTGGGAACTGAATCCTCATTGCAGGATGTTTTTTTGTTGACAATGTACGAACAAGAAAGTTCATCTTGGCAATCTGATTCTAAGGGGAGAGCTGAGAATTATGGATTTAATGTCTCTAGTTCTCCCCTTAGGAGGCATTAAGTAGAGACTTTAAGTACAAACTGAGCAAATTTAGTGTGAAGTTATAGAGAAAGGAGTGTAGAAATCTGAAATGCATTTTTTTAAACATAGGAGTTGCTGAACAATAAGTGGAGTGGTTTATTATGTTCCCCATCTCCAGCCTCTGTGAGGAACTACAGTATCTGCCTCTATCGGTATGTCTTCTTTTGGGAATGCAAAGTGACAGAGTTATCATCCTTTTCATTACTACCTGCAGTGCTCCGAGGCATTGAAGTTGTTGGCAGCCTCAGGGAGATCATGCTTAGCACATTGGAAGGGAGGGGGGGTGGCACTAATATTTACTTTATTTTTTAAGTAGTCTGTGTCTGAGGTATCCTTCTGCAGTGCTTCCCCCCCACCCCCCAAGGAAGAGGGGAGCAAATGTATGCATTTTTCATATCCTGGTGTATGCATGTGTGTAAAGCAGAGATGACAAACTCAAAACAGAGCTTGGTATTGTTTCAATCTCTTCAGGCCAGGATGTTAAAACAGAACTTCAGCTGAATAAAAAGGACTGAAGAAGAGTCAACCTCTGATGGACTCTACCTGATAATCAGCCCATGCCCGACTGGAGGAGAACACATGGGCAAAAGTTTCATAGTTTCTAGGGTTGGAAGGGACCTGAGTAGATCATCTAGTCCTACCCCCTGCCATGGCAGGAAATAGTACTAGGGTCAAACGACCCCAGCAAGGTGTTCATCTAACCTCCTCTTAAAAACCCCCAGGGTAGGAGCCAGCACCACTTCTCTTGGAAGTTGGTTCCAGACCCTAGCCGCCCTGACCGTGAAGTCGCGCCT